GATTGTAATTTTATGAGATTAAGTATGTAACTATGCGATGAATTACCATGAGTATAACTTGTAGAAGCAAGCTTCAAGCACATTAAAGTTTTGATGAAGACAACAAGCTTTCTACGCAACATGCATATGCAAAAAGCAAGAGATTCAAATAAACATCAAGTTTCAAGATGATGGTCTAGCAATGTGACAATTGGATCAAAGCTTCACATACAAGTTTCAAGTATTGAAGATGGAATATTGAACAACAACTCAAAGGTATACCAAATATCATTTAAAATACTTATACAAGTGTTCAAACTTTCATCTATCACTACACATATATCGCAAGCCTTCTTAAAACATTTTTAGTTGCTCACTCATTTTAAAATTAATTCTGTTTTGGAAAACTTTCAGCGTTAACCGATTAACCCATATGGTTAACCGGTTAACGGATTTCAAATTTAGTTTTCTGGTGAAATACTTACAGTGTTAACCGATTAACATATATGGTTAACCGGTTAACAGGTGTTATTTTTGAATATTTTTTAAACGTTAAAGGGGTGTTAACCGATTAACCTATATGGTTAACCGATTAACACTGAAGCAGTAAGCAAAAATGACAGCTTTTCATGAAAATATGCATTGCTTTCTTTTGATTTCTGACTGTTTTTGCTGCATAAAATTATACCCCTCTGTAGAGGTATTTTGTTCACTATAAATTGATATCAGATTTCAAATTTCAATTTACCTCCAAAAAACATAATCATAAAAAATCACTCATTCTCTTCATCCTTCAATTTTTCTTAAAGTGTTCACAAATAGTTTTTTGAAAGAAGCTTTTTGAATAAATTTTCACACATTATCATAGCTTCATTTCATTCTATTTTAAAAGAACACTTGTATATTTTCTTTGAGTGATATTTGTTTCAAGAAGAAGATCGATTGTGAAGATTGATAACACTGCATTCATAAGACATCAAACTTATTTCAAGATTACTTTCTTTATATTACCTTGTTGTCCAGGATTGTTGGAAACAAGTGAGTGTTTGAAGAGGATTGTTCTTCCTACACCTTAGATACATATAGATTAGATAGTAGGCTTCACCTTTGGTGTGATTAGGCTGTGCAATCATTCTAAACTATAGTGAAATCTCTTTCGATTCGAAAGGGGAGTGGAATACTCTCGGAGTGTAAGGGGAACCACTATAAATTTCTTGTGTCTCCTTTTCTTTTCCGCACTTTACTTTCCTGTCATTATCATCTTAACCAAAAAGAACCAAGTATCACTGAAAGATTGAAGATAATTTTTTAGAACCTAATTCACCCCCTCTTAGGCGCATTTACAAGTTACATAACTGTAATTCTTATGAGATTAATATATGATTGTATAATGAGTTCCTATGAGTAATGATGATGAGTTATGATATTTCCATGAGTTTTGATGATTCTATGATGACATAAATTATGATGGTGATATTGATGAATGATGACGCGCCTATGATGCTATTATGAGGATGATTATTAACGTGTGCATCATATATTCATGTGCATCCGAACTTCGGTTCAGGACCTTGATTTATTTGGCTTCAATCCCATTGTGCGGATGTGAGGTATTTTTATGTGCTCCGGTTCTCGAGTAGAATCGATCCTATTGATGGGGATCTATGGAGGGTTGATGGCCCAGTGTCCATCGAGCTATGACGATTGATACCACATGCATTGAGTCTTGTTGCATTTGCATTTATGAGATGATCTTGAGTAATTTATGATGTTGTGGCCTTTGATGTCCATTGATGAATATGGTGATGTTGAATATGAAAATGACGTCGTTTTATATATTGATTTCCTACATTAATTATTATGAATCGTTTTACTCCCCCTGCCTGTTTGAATGTTGCCTCCACGCGGGTAATGTGTAGATGACCAGGTTTAGCTGTGGATGCCGTCAAGGATCTTTTGAAGTTTTCGGGTTGTTGGCCATTTTGGTTAATGTAGAGGGTTTTGCTCTGATAGTGTAACATCGGGTTGGGGTCTTTGAGTTAAACCATGTTTTATTTGATTTGGTTATTTTGATTTTGTTCCCGTATAAGGAAAACTTTGGATTTTTTCCTTTTTGAGTTCCGCTGCCATTTGAGCACTTTTGAGTAATTTTTAGAAAAACCGGTTGCTTACGAAGCATTAACCTTGATTTGAATTTATTGAGAAATGTATGCCCTTTGAGGTGATTTTTATGGTGTTTAAAATTTTACTCTGATAAATTATATTATTTTGCCATAATATTCGTGGGGTAGAAAAGGGTGTTACACCAATCCTCCGCGAGCACTTCTTTCTCTCTTCCTCCTTCTCTCTCTCTCTCTCTCTCTCTCTCTCTCTCTCTCTCTCTCTCTCTATCTATCTATCTATCTCTCTCTCTCTCTCTCTCTCTCTCTCTCTCTCTCTCTCTCTCTCTCTCTCTCTCTCTCTCTCTCTCTCTCTCTCTCTCTCTCTCTCTCTCTCTCTCTCTCTCTCTCTCTCTCTCTCTCTCTCTCTCTCTCTCTCTCTCTTTCCTTCTTTCTTCCCTCTTTTTTATCTAGAAGCCTTTAGATAGATAACCCATCTGAGCCTAGAAGTAAGTAAAACGGTTTCCGTCGAGTACGACAGATGCGTGAGGTGCTAATCTCTTCCTCTCGTATAACTTATCCCCTTACCCGTTTCTCTTTCCTTTGGGTTTTATCGATATTTTCCCCTTTCTTTGGGACTAAATAAAGTTCAGTGGCGACTCTTTTGTATCTTTGAATGTGCGATTCACTCAGGTATAATCCCACTAGCTTCAGGCTCATGTTTACATTATTCACTATTAACAAAATTCCTTTCTTTGTATGATATTTATGGAGAACTAATCCTTAAGGAGAACTCTGATGATTACGGGTTCTACCTTTTTAAGGCTATTTTAATTCCAATTCAATTGTGATTTTTGTTCAATTCTGCCTATGAATTCGTTTTCTCAATTCAATTGCTTTCGCTTGCTTAATTCAATTTTTACTCATACGATATAATTAATTAAATTCGATTGTACGCTTGTTCATAATTTTAATCGTGTGTTAACTTAGATTATTTGTTAGCTTCGCCTAATCTTTAAACTGTCATGCTTAATCTGGTAAACAGGAACATAATTAACATGATATTGATATCACTTGTCTAATTGGTTTCATAACCGAATAGGATCGAAGCCGCTTTGGGGGGGATTGGAGTTATAATAACCAGTGATAAGTCAGAACCCAAATCAGCAGGATTAGCCGTTTTAACTTATTTGTAATCAAATCCTTTTTACTGTTATATTATTTGGACCCAAAACCTTAAAATCCTCATCATTTTATGTTGGTAAAAATTAATTTAAGTGTCCTTGTGATATGACTCTCAAGTGTCTCTTTCCTAAGCTACAATTTTTATTTACTCGTTTTTTACCCGTGTGCGACAGTGGATCACCATTGTTGTTGTTGTTGTGCTTATTGTTGTTGCTTCTATTGTTGTTGTTGTTGGTTTTGCTGTTGTTTATGATGATGATGATGATGATGTTGTATTCTTGTTGTTGTTGTTGTTGTTGTTGTTGTTTTTTTGTTGTTGTTGTTTCTGTTGTTGATGTTGCTGTTGTTATTGTTATTGTTGTTGTTGTTGTTATTGTTATTGTTGTTGTTGTCTTTGTTGTCTTTGTTGTCATTTTTGTTGACGTTGTTGTTGTTATTGTCGTCGTCGTTGTTGTTGTTGCTATTGTCGTTGTTGTTGTTTTTGTTGTTATTGTTATTGTTGTTATTGTTGTTGTTGTTGGATTTGTTGTTATTGTTGTTGTTGTTGCTGTTGTATTTGATGTAGTTGTTGTTGTTGTCATGGTGAAAATAGTGCACTTACTACCACACCTTTGGTTACCACGAGCCACCCTCCGTGGTGGAATCCTTCTCCCAATTATGGTTATAAATACTTTTTGAAGTAATGTTTCCCATATTTTTCTAAGGATTTTATGATTTAGGCAAATGCATCTAATATGGGTATTGGAGTTGTGTTGATACACAAGGTCATCCTCTTTCCTTTTTTAGCAAGAATTTGGGGCCAAAACTACAAGCAACATAAGTGTATATCAAATAGTAACATGTTATTACAGAGTCCGTCCTTGAATGGCGGCAATACTTGCTAAGGCATATTTTTGTCATTCGAACCGATCACAAAAGTATCGAGAAACTTTTTCAATAAGTGATCCAAACTCCTGATCAACATTCATACATGTACAAAATATTGAGCTTCTAGTTTCATATTGAATACAAACAGAACGCTTCAAATAAGGTAGTTGAGTCTCTCTCTCTCTCTCTCTCTCTCTCTCTCTCTCTCTCTCTCTCTCTCTCTCTCTCTCTCTCTCTCTCTCTCTCTCATGTACTTGCTAAATGGCATGATTGTAAGCAAACAGCAACATTTCACGCATTGGTGTCTTATCCTTCGCATAACATTGTTTTGTAGCTTCAACATAACAATATTTGGTTCCACTGTTATACTTGTTGTTATAGACCGTCTATCCAAGACAACTCACTTAATCTATTTTCCCATTTCTTTCATAACTTCTAAAATGGAAGAGTTATTTATGTCCTTGCTTGTTCGTAGCCATGGGTACCCTTGTTCAATTGTAAGGGTCCACTGTTATACTTGTTGTTGTAGATCGTCTATCCAAGACAACTCACTTCAGCTCTTTTCCCATTTCTTTCTAAAATGGAAGAGTTATTTATGTCCTTGCTTGTTTGCCGCCATGGATATCCTTGTTCAATTGTATCCGATCGTGAGCCCATTTTTATTAGCAAATTTTGACGCAAATTGTTTGAACTTAGTGGTGAAAAACTAACAATGAGAAGTTTTTACCATCCACTATATGATGGACAATCTGAAGTAGTTAATCGTGGATTGGAGCAGTACCTTTGTGTTTTCACACAACACAAACTGTCTTCATGGGTCGCATTTCTGCCTTGGGACTAGTTAATACCAACTATCATAGTGCTTTGCAAATGTCCCCTTTTGAGGCTCTTTATGGACGCAAACTACCCACCATTCTACCTTATGCTAGAGGTTCCCCTTCTATTCAAGTGCTTGACGAGGCTCTCACTTCTCTTGATGAATTATTATGCACTTTAAAGGACAATTTGAATGTTGCTCAACATCGTATGCATCAGAAAGCCAATGCGCATCATCATGATGTAACCCTAGATGTTGGTGACTTCGTTCTCGTGCGTCTCTAGCATATCGCCAAAGCTCTGTTCATCAACCTAAACATAATAAGCTTTCTAAGAGGTTTTATGGTCTGTTTCCCCATTTTAGAACGTATTGGGAAAGTGGAATAAGGCTTCAATTTTCGGTTGGCAATCATATCCCGATTTTCCATGTGTCGGCTCTTAAGCCCTTTCATGGTAGACACTATAATTACACCCACTTTTGTACATGTTAAATGATAATAGCTCTCTTTATTTTTTAATTGAAAAATTGTAATCATTGTTACATCGAAATGTGAAAATGACAGTCATTTTAAAAGAAAATATATTTACTAAAACGACAATTATTTTAAAACGAATAAAATATTTCTTCTCTTTTTTGGAGTTGACACTCATTTGAAGAGTGTAAAAATCAATACACCCAGGGGCAGGTCTAGGACAATGGTATTGGGGGCTCAAGCTCCCACATGAAATAATTTTTTTCTTTAATGCTATTAACATATATTTTTTCTAGCTCCCATTAAATTTATTTAATCTAATTAATTTACTTTATTATGCACCATAATTTTATGTTTTTTTTTCTGTTTAATTTTAAATTATTTCAATTTTACTTCTAGAGTTTATTATAAATACTTCTCCTCTTTAATTTAAATTATAAATTTATAAAATTATGAATTTGTAAAAATAATTTTTCTTTAATTGAATATTTTATTTTTTTAAAAAGTATTAATATAATATAGTTAATCTTGTTAGCAAGATATAAAAAATTTCTACTATCAATTAAAAAAAAAAAAGGAGAATATTCATACAATATCGAGTGAGTGAACAAATACTTAAATTTATATACAATAAATGTTATTTTTTAATTGTTAAAATTTTAGGTAAATTAAACTTCTAGAATTCATGGAAATTATGGTGGACTTTAAAGTTTAAGAATATATTTGATAGTATTGATGGTAAAAATATCATTAAATATTTTTTAAAATATAAAAATTAATAAGAAATAAATATAACTTTTATAAAGAAAACTATGTAATTTAAATTTATTTGGCATTATAACTATGTATTATGTAATATTTATAATATTGTTTTAATCAAAATATTTACACAATTTATTTTCTCCTAGACCGGCAACAATTGCTCCATATCGGTACTTCTACCAGCCAAAAGCGCACTTTAGATATACTATACTCTAGCTTTAGAGTTATAGGCTGCGACGGTGGAAGTAGAGGTTTAGGCTTGCCAACCAAAACTACAAAATTTCATTCTTCTCTCAGACTCATCTTCAAACTAAAAATGGATTTCTTCACTCCTACACCGCCCTTCACCACCATCTTCTCCTCCTCACCTCCACCTCCACCAACCTCCATTCCCGATTACACCGGGAAAAACGTCTCCAACCCGCTCCTTCCAGTTCACCACAAGCACAGCAACCCCATGCCATTGATCATTGCCGCGGTAGTTGTTATCGTTCTCCTTCTGCTGTTTTTCGCGGGGTGGATTGTCTACCGGGTCAACAACCCTCCACGTCGCCGGGTGGTGATCGAGCAGCCACCAGTGGTTCGTCTTTGATAGAGGAGTCGTATATATTTTAGAATTCATATTTATTAGTTATTAGCATTAGTATTAGGTTACTGTGTATTTGGAATTTTGAGTTATTATCTATTATGAACACTGTATGTAGTGTCTTTTGACATATTTGATGGCATGAAAAAAATGAAAAAAGTTATCTTTTATTTTACTTGTCTGTTGATAGGAAAAATTTCATATCAATGCTTTCATGTTAAATGGGGTTTGTATTGAATTTTTATGGAGTAGAAGAATCGTACCGGTGTATTTTTTAATTGAAAAATATTTTAGAGACAAAAATATTGTGGAGGATGAGGAGAAAGAAGCTGCAATGATAATGAGAGGTTGTGCTCTGAAATGGTGGCCACTGAGGATTCAACCTCATTCATTTATGTCTTGGAATATTTCCATTGAAATATTTTTTTTTTTAGCATTTTAAACCCAAATGGAGACACTTTTTCTTAGAATTAGATAAGGAAATGGAATCCATCCATGAATCAGTGAAATCCATAGATCTAAAGTCTATTGTAGAGGATGTAGAAGAAGAACCAAATACGATGACACGTCAGATCGAAGAAACAGAGTCAGTGAGAGAGAACCCACCACATGAGCCACCACCGGCGTCAATCTTTGATCAACCACCGTTTCCACCGCCAACCTCCAATACCACTGCTGAACTCATATTAGTCTTGGATCATTTATTATCTCCCATTCCAAAACAAGAGACGATTCATTCTCCTTCTTACGAGTCTTTTGATTTTTCACCAAACTTTACCTACAGTGCCAATAAAAATCTTCCACCACCACCAAAGCCACTGGCGACGTTGTTATGTATTGGCCTATGAATCATGGTTATCAAATTGGTTTTTCTCAATACCATGAGAGTTAAAATTTAAAATGCTTAAAATTCTAAATTGTACTCTGAGCTTTTTTTTAATTTGGATCGCATCCACAACTTCACAACTCATAATTTACTTATCCAAACTTCACAACTTTTTTTTAATAAAAAAAAAATACTCTTATAACATTCATAGGAAATATAAGTCTAATTTTTATAAAATTCGGCTACTATTGTGGAGATTGAAACTAGTAAGAGTTAAGCAAATTATAAAAACATTTAAAGAAAAATATGGTATGAGTTTATTAAGAAAGTATATAGTATATGAGTGATTGAATATGTTATATTTATAAACGTATTTATAATTGAAGTGGGAGATTATTGTAGAAAAAATGTATAATAAAAAAAATAAAATTAAGTAATTAATTTATATTGAAATCATTGAGTATTAATTTTTGTATTTATAGCACAACAATTGAAAAATGATTTTTCTAAAATAATTAACTTATTATTAATATGAAAGTTATCTTGTAAAAAAAGTTCAATTTAAATGCATCAATAAAAATAAGTAGTTATTAGAAAAATAAAAGATCATTGTTGAAATAACAAAACACCTTAGAAAATTTATAAGGCTAAATTTTATGTTTTTTTTATTTAAATTCTGTTAAATGGATGAATATGGATGAAGCTGTAAGATCTTACTCGATTTTTCACCATTATAGAGGTTTGTTCTATCAGCACTTTTCACTTTTCATTTGATACTTTTAAAAATTATTTAAATTTATCATTAATTGTTTTTAGTTATAATTAATAGATATTTCTGTCTTGGCTATAACTATTATCATGAACACAAATTATCGACCAACATCACAATATTACTGTAGTTATCAATCACCCCGATACATCAAATGGGGTGAGAGAAAGATGTGACAAACTAGTGCTTAGTTTCAAAAGGTGTCATTCCAATACTAGAATGATAACTGTTGTTATAAGTAAATTCAATCAACAGTAAGTGAGTATCCCAAGCGCCTCTCCGCTCGAGTATACAGGCTCTTAGCAAATCTTCCAACGACTGAATAGTCCTCTCAGATTGACCATCAGTCTGTGGGTGATAAGAAGAACTCAATTTCAAACTGGAACCCAAAGCTTCTTGCAAGATTTTCCAAAATCCAGAAGTAAACCTCAGGTCTTGGTCAAATACAATGCTCGGCGGAACCCCGTGTAACTTCACTATTACTCTGATATAAATTTCTGCTAACTTCGTCAAAGGAAAACTGATGTTAATCGGTATAAAATGCACCGACTTCGTCAATCTGTCCACAATCACCCAAATTGCGTCAAAACCTCTCGCCGTATTCGACTATCCAGTCACAAAATCTATTGCAATAATATCCCATTTCCACTCCGATATTTCCATCGGTTGCATCAAACCGAATGGTTTCTGGTGTTCCACCTTTGACTTCTGACAGGTCAAACAAGCATACACAACCGAGCTATGTCCTTCTTCATACCCGGCCACCAAAATAATTTCAAGTCCTGATACATTTCCATAGCTGCTGGATGAATACTCAAGCTACTCCTGTTGCTTTCTTGTAAAATTACCTTTTTCAAATCAGGATTATCTGGCACACAAATTCTGTCTCTGAACTTCAACACACCCGAATCATCTACTTTAAAATCTTCTTCTTTATCCGTTCCACCTACGGTCATAAAGTTTACCAATTTAAAATCCAGTTTCTGACCTTCCCTTATTTCACGAAGGAACTCATTATTCACTTTCAGCATTCCTAACATTACACTTCCCGAAGATAACTCACAAACCATACTCAAGTCTCTAAACTGCTCAATCAAATCCAATTCTCTAATCATCAACGTCAACATATGTATCGTCTTCCGACTCAAAGCATCTGCCACGACATTAGCTTTACCAGGATGGTAACTCAAACTAAAGTCATAGTCCTTCAGAAATTCCATCCATCTTCGCTGCCTCATATTTATTTCCTTCTGGTCAAACAGATATTTCAAACTCTTGTGGTCACTGAACACTTTGAATCTCGACCCATACAAATAATGTCTCCAAACCTTTAATGCGAAAACCACTGCAGCTAACTCAAGATCATGAGTAGGATAATTCCTTTCATGAATCCTCAATTATCGTGAAGCATAAGCCACAACTTTTCCATCTTACATCAAAACATCGCCTAATCCCATTTTAGACGCATCACAATATACTACAAAAGGATCATTCAGATTTGGCAAGGTTAACACTGACGCGGTAGTCAACCTTTTCTTCAGCTCTTAGAAACTTTCTTCACACAAAATATCCCATACAAATGTCTGACCTTTTCTAGTCAATTGGGTCAACGGAAGGTCCAAGTTAGAAAACCCTTCGATGAACTTACGGTAATAGCCTGCCAAGCCCAAGAAACTTCTGATCTCCGTCACTGACTTCAGAGCCTCCCACTGAAGCACAACACTCACCTTCACTGGATCCACTGCTATGCCTCCTCCAGAAATAACATGTCCAAGAAAACTCACTTCGCTCAACCAAAACTCACACTTCGAAAGTTTTGCAAACAATTTATTATCCCTCAACACTTGAAACGCAACCCTCAAATGCTCT